TCACCGTCTGTCCTCTTTATATTACTTTGAGCATGATAAAGGAAATAGACAACACCTTTTCAGAGGTCTATTTAACTGGGCTGTCTATGACTCTTTATCTAAACCTGAATGCAATATGCACAGGCTCTTCCTTAATGCTATGGAAATATTTGTCTTAGCACATTCATGGTCAAGAGGCTTCATATCCTTAAATGAGGAGGTTACTTCACCCCTCAACATCAAACTGAGCCACAAGCAGCAGATCAGGCACCGAATAATAACTGTGATAGGGAATTTTAGCAGAATCCCAAGAGTTCCAGAAATGGGTTGCTGAATATGGTGGAGCTCATCTCTTCCAGGAGCTGCCAAAGACTTCTGATCCACATATCCCAAGCTCATTATGCTCTGTATAAGCCTGTCCATCCCCGTTCACCCCAATATTGCAATCAATATAACACATGCAGCAGTATGGCTTCTTCAGTTTATGGTCTTTGAGCTGTTGGATTTTCTAGGTAAGGAATGGAGCATTGCTGTAGTCCTTGAAAGCTTACTGTACCCCCAATCACCATACCCACCAGGACTGTCAAAGTACATCATTAGCACTGTGGCTTCTCTTTCCTATTGACAGACCTAAGATAAATGAACTCTGCTGGCTAGTTCAGCTTTGTTTTGTTTTATTTACACTAGCAGAAGGGTTTTAGGGTGCCTGCACTTTGGCTCAAGGAGGTGTGCTGTTTGCTTCCTTTTCAAGGCCAAAGGGCCATGAAGATCTGTCACAGCAAGTAAATCTGTCTGTGGTGAGGCTGTCCTCCTGATCAAGTTGCAGTTTGGAGAAGGCCAATTGAGTACCACCATGCAAATCCCAAGCCAATTTGATATTCTGGTGACTTGCTTTATGAGTGGAGTCCCCTGTTGATCTCCACATCAGGGTTTGGCCCACATTGGTTGGTACATACTTTGAACATAGTAGTTTAGGATTTAGTATGTGGCCCAAGGCACTTTCAGGCCAATCCACTACACCAATGTTTCTCAACCTTGGCAACTTTAAGCTGGGAAATTCTGGGAGTTGAAGTCCACACATCTTAAAGTTCCAAGGTTGAGAAACATTGGTCTACACTATCTTGTCCTTATGGATCCCCTCTCTATGTCCACACCTTTTGAGCTAGCGTGGTCTTCATCCAACTGTAACCAGTGTACTGTTATATGGACCAGCAAGGGAATGTCCTCCAGACCCTGCAGCCTTGGGGGCTCCAAAATCAGTTACCAGATGACCTGTCTTTCCCCCCATTGGCATTCATCCTTCCTCTCCCCTCTTACCAGGCAGCGGCTTGTAAAAGGGGCTGGGGGGGGAGGGGAGGAAAGCATGCTGGGAGGATCAGGGGAGGCCGGGACTCTCTCACGCCGGTTACAGTGCTAGTTTTGTACCCACAACCTCCTCTCTGCAGGCTGTTCTCTCTCATGCAGCAAGTCTCCAAAATGCTCTCCCTGCCTTCCCTTCCAAATATTAACCATCCCTCCTTCCTCCCCAGGGTGTTTCTTACAGTATAAAAAGCATGCATTTATTTTGGGTTGAGGGTCCTTCTTTCAAGACTTGAGGGCAGAATGGGCGGCACTCATTTCAAAAGGCACTGCTCCCTAGCCGTGCCCAGAAGACCACCATTCTCAGTGTCTCCCTCAATCTTTCCAAACGGCCGATGCAATTCTGGCACGGCCAGCCTTTGGCATGACCCCTGCCTCGCCTGCCTCGCCTTCCCCGCTCTCCATCTTCTCTTTCTCTCGCCCATCTCCAGATGCCCCAGACCTCTTACCTCACAGTCTCCACCCCAAAACTCCCAGCCAGCCGCTGCTCTTTTAAGCTGCCCTCAGGTGGGGGCTGGGATTCACGGACCCGGCCGGGCCGAAGGGGAAGCGGGATCAAGAAGCCTCACCTCCGGCTGCAAGGAATGCAGCCTGGCGGGAGTCGCCTGCGGGTTGCGCCGGCTCTTTCTCTGGGCTGGCTGCAGTAATGAATGAGCCGCTGCCTTGCTGGCTCGTTCGCTCGCTCGCTCGCTCGCTCGCTGCCTCTCTCC